CTGCATATCGCAGGTTTTAATGAATCTTCCTCCAATCCTGATGTCACATTCTTCTTCATATAGTCCAGCTTCTTGGATTATTTGCTCAGCGTACAGATTGAATGAGTGTGGTGAAAAGATATAGCCCTGAGGTAGAGCCTTGCAAAGTTAAACCATGCAGTACCCTGGCCGTGGCGGCAGAGTGCAGTCAGCTCTGTGCCCTACTCAGCTGGCCACCTTCCCCTCCACCCATGCTGTCATCCCTTGCAACCCTGCAGCCTGGTGTCTCCTGAATGCAGCACTGGGTGAATGATGCTGAGTGGATTTCATTATTATTAAATGGAATAATCAGAGCACAAATATTAATGCTAACCAAATGCAAACCCACTGCCATCGAGTCGATTCCAACTCACAGCGACCCCCGGTGGGTTTCTGAGGCGGTACATCTTTACCGAAGTAAATTGCCCAGTCTCCCTTCCTCAGGGTGGCTGGTGGGTTTGAACCACCAACCTTCTGGTTAGCAGTCAGATGCCTTAGGTACTGTGCTATCAGAGCTGATACTAACACCAGTCAAAGATAACTCCACTCAGAGCTTCCCAGATTTAACTAACTAAATAAATAAAAGATAGGCTTTCCTCCTGGTCTGAGCTCATTCCCTTAAACCCTCCCCGCTCTCTGATTTCCTCTGTGGTCTTCTAAGCCAGCCATGGCCAAGTGCAGACCTACGGGCTCTCGGGACTAGAAATGACCTCAGTGGGAAGAAGCTCACCTGTTTCTCCTCCATCTGTCATTGCAGATCATTGAACTGTAAACAAAAACACAAACCTGCCAGACAGACTTCGGACTTTGTCATTTGGCCTAGTGTCAGAATTATAAACTAGGGTGTGGGGAATTCTGAAGAAAACTAATGCCGATAAAACAGCCATCCTGCAGAAGGGGTATCAGATTCCCATCCAGCTATCAGAGGGACAGGGTGATAGTACCACTAGGGCTGGGTCACCCAGTGCAGTAACTCATGATGTCATCCCCCCAGGACGTCCTCCCACCCCAGACCACACAGACTCCTTAGGAATGTTTACTATCAATTTCAATCACAGAGTGATACGTGATAAACATAGTCATACCTT